ACCCAAAGTTACGCCCTTGCATTGGACAAAACATTTACTATAAACAAACTTTCTCAAATTAAAGATATATTTTTGAATGTTTTAAACTGTGTATTATAAGTGTAAATAAACCTACATAAATAACTTTATGTATATGTTTATTTAATAGAAAATATGCATAATACCTCCTGAGATCCTGCAGACCAATTTTAGGGCATTGGTTTTTGACCTGTAGACCCTATTAAGGGGAACTAGATTGTCAGTTTTTTAATTTTACAAATGTATATTTTTAATTCATAATTACTCATGTGTTTGAGGCATTGCCAGGGGAAATTAAAAAAATCCACACCAAGCAAAAAGCTTGAGATTCAAGTGAATCAAATAGTCTGGCTGAGGGAGGCCACCATTTGCCCCCTCTGTCTCCATCTTGGTTGTGCCCCTGCTGCTTCAAAGTTTGGCATGCAAGGCGGCGGGCAATAAGCAAACAAGGAATCCCAKTTTCATATTTTCCTAATTCGTTGTTCTCAGTGGACGTCTCTTCCTGTATCAACAACCCCCTGCTGTTCCCCCTCCGGCACCTCGTGGAACATCATCTGCTGCTTTTCTTGGTGCTGCAACAAGCTGGCTGTGACCCAGTTACCCTTCAGCCGGTAAATRCGGCTTGTTCTTTCCCTCTCTTTTTCTTTTCCTTTGGCCAAATGAATAAAGARCAGGATGGAGACTGAAGTGGAGGTGGGGGTTGGGGGATGAAACAACCGACAAGTTTTAATCCTGTCAGCGAAATGAATCTTACATCAACATGTCAAACTGGGAAAATAAGAGCAAGCCTACTTGGACTGGCTGACAAAACATACTGTACGGTCTGCATCAGGACTACTAAAACTGCACAGAAAAGAAGAATTACAGGCAGGAGTACGTGAGGCTTCCTGCTTATTTACACAGTTATCTGGGAAATGAGGAATCTGCACCACAGATCTTAACTCTTACTCGGTCCTTGTCCGATCGGCAGCTCTGATAACAAGGAACCCAGACTCCGGCATGTTATGAAGATCAGATTTAGCTCTGTGGAAACAAGTGGGGAATGTTTGAGGGCTAGAACGACCCTGAGGAGCTTGAGAAAGCACGCTGAATTATTTTCATTTTCAAAAGTTAGCACAGGTGTTTGAGCCGCAGGATCACCGTCTCACACCAACAGCCCCATACTGTGGAGCTTCATGTCGATCCGGGTCAAGTTCCTGTTGGATGTGTGGCTTTCTCTGCTCATCTTTTTAAAATGGACAAATGTGTCTTTAGAAAGATAAGTTAGGTGTTAATACGTGAGAGGAATAATAGACTTGATCTCATTTCTAACAATGCCCCCATCTTTCATTTGAGACCTCCAGAGTCTGACATCATTACTGCGAGGCCACGCTGGAAGACTCAAATGTTCGTGAAAACCCAGGATTACGTTCTCCTATCAGCCTTGTCAGTCGTCCATCAGAGCGAGATAAACCAGGGTCAGCTGAGATAATGGAAGTGACTTGAACGAATGACCTACATTTATCCAAAACAAAACAAAGAGCTTTTAGAAAATTCTTGAATCCTCATTTTGACCAAAGTTTATTATTTAAAAAAATGCTACATTTCTTTTAGCATAACTATAGGATCTGCTGTGTCCAAATTATATATTTGTTTTTTGGTTTGTTTACTTTATTATCTGTACAAACACAGGCCTAAAGTTGCATGCATCAGTTTATGCATCGATCAGTCTACTGTTCAAATAACATTCCAGTTAGTTGTAATGGTTTGTAAAATTGTTAAAAGCAAAAATTTCATATTCAAATTTCAATTTGATAGCAAAGTGAATGATCAATGCATCAATATGAATTAATTATAATTTCTAAAACCCCCTTTAGTTGGTGCACATCCAGTGATAAATGTCTGGGACTGGACTGAAAATGTGTGAAAAAGCAAAGCGTTTTAAAAGATTTTAAATGATTTACATATTTTTATAATTTCTTATGAATGAAATGGTCCAAAACCAAATACACCACCGCTATTCAGAAAACCTGTTGCTCAAGAGCACTACAAAAGATGACAAGAAAATCTGACTCCCATCTCTGATTAAACTTTGATTATCTCAAGGACTTTTTTCTGCTTGATACATYGTGAAAAAGAACTTTCATATTGGTGTGAGATAAAATGTAACTCATAAAATCTGTCTTTAAAGAGCAGAGAAAACTGATTATAAAAATCTTAAGTGTGCTTATTCTTTCAGGCTAAATTTATATCTCATTTAGAGATTTTAATGTTTTTGTCATGTTTAGCCAGAATGTTCTATTTATATCAGCACCTGATAATGTAAGAGCTTTTGGTAATCCCTAAAAAAAAAACAATTACTCATGATTGACTGCCAATTGAGTCAGCCCAGTCCAGTATGATCCCCACATCTAAGTGATACTAGCCAACAATAAAAGCTCTAAATTCTTTCAGTTTCACACATATTGAGGTAAAAGATGGTGGAGTAGTAGCTGAGAGTCATCCCCAACACATACTCTTATTTTTTTAAAGTCTGTATATTTGGGGTATTTTGAGATGTGAAAACATTCCTAAATGTAAAATGCCACCTTCTGCCAGAGGACCCTTAAAGTCAGGTAAACACCATGAAGGGTTTAGATTGTGCACTTATRTTTTTGATGGCTTTGACATCGGTGCGACACATAAAGTCAGCATTATTTTGTTAAATTTTTTTGCACTTTACAGACTAGTTAATATGCTATAATCAATTTTTGTTTTGTTCAAAGCATGAGCATCTGATGTTTTTTACAGTTGGATATTACTTCAAGCCTTCACACAGCTCTGTGTAGATACAGAGGCTTGGTCTTCACCACTCGGAGTGTTTGATCCTTTGAGTTTGACCTCTATGTCTACAGTTGTGTGTGTGTAAACATGGCTGAGGCAGAGAGTTAAAGTCCAGTGCAAGAGGGGCGAAAAAAGGACCTCATTGTTGTCGTCGTCCTGACCTCTCTGAGAGGATGTCGCCCACAGTGAGGGTTGTGCTCCCACTTGCGGACCGTGTGACTCCGCAGGGACGGGCTTGTTTGTGTGCAGCTCCAAAGACCCTCGCCGGTCTCAAGTAGCTGCTTGCCGTTGAAAGCTCGCTGCTGAATGCCGGCCGTTGGGCGCCCGATGCAGCGTGAGGTCATGTCTGCTCTGTGAGGCCAGTTTTATCTCCTGATTTGTTCCCTCGCTGTTCTCGCTGGAGACAAATTCAGTCTTACATAACTGCCACTTACTTTTAACACTTGGAGTAAACGTAAGTTTTCACCCAAAACACAGCTCTCAGCTGGCCTGTAGGAACTGTGGGCTGGTGTGAGAAAAGAGAAAACATGATGGATCTATAAAAAGTGATTATTAAAAAAAACAAACAGTAATCAACTGCTAAGTTTGGGAAATTTTTCATAAAGTAAAAATAAAATAAATAATACAATGATGAATGCAGTGAGTGCAGCGTGGTGATCAAAGCGAGGCAGATGGAAACTTATGTTGACAGATCTGGACGGCAGGGAGCAGGCCAGTTTCTGCTGGACTTGTTTACAAGCAGTTTCCAGCCAGCAGACAGAACCGCACACAGTCTTCTGCAGCTTTATAGACTTAAACAAACTCTCCAGAGCTGCACTCACCTTGTAAACATCTCTGCCTCATCAGCTGACAAGAGGAGGAGGGGGTCTTAGCTCAGATTCCAAACGTGGACYGCTCTGCGCCTAAAAAACCACTAGTCAGAGACCCCCCTGCATGAAAGGATGGGAATGTTGTTTTCATTCTGTTTACTTCTTTTGTATTGAGCTTTAAATCATTGTTGGGGTGATAAATATTTGGAAAAAGTAGGGTAAAATTAGCATAACTTTTCTGAAATTACTAAGTATGTTTGGTATGTTTGGCCATTGTCTTGTCTGGCCTATTAAACAGGTCACGTGCAGACTGATGGCTGAGCTACCACAGTGTGGACAGTCTGTCCTCTCAGCTGGCATGTCCACTCTGTGCAACAACGGAAAACCTCRTCAAATGTTATTTTTGGTTTGTTTTTCTGACTCAGTACTTTACTCAAATGAGTGTCCCTAAGCTGAAACATTATTTAGGTGATTATTTAGACCTTTTTAGAGTGGGGTTCTGTGGAAATGTATGAACAGTTAATATCTCACCTGTTGTAGATAGCTGTTTGAATAGCCTCATGTTGGAGAGTTTTTAATTTAWTTTTGACAAGCTAATAGCTTTTTTGAGCGGGGCTGAAGCCAAAGTTGATTGCTGCCACCTTAACTCAAACCTCAAAATCATCATAGCAGTTCACGTAAATGCTAAACAATAAAAAATAAGTTCTCATCCTTTTTTTCAGACAATGTTTTTTTGTTAATCCACTTAGTTTTATCTTTGCTGCTGTAAGCTCAAATCTAAACACATTTAGTTTTATTAAGCTATTGATTTGGTGAGCAGATTTGGGAAGGTGAGTAGGCGGGACTTTTGTATTAGTGGTAGAGCTCCACGTCCCAACTGAACAGATGCGTGCTCCGAAATACAACACAGGAGTTTCCAAAGATGAATGTTTTGGCTTCAATTCTGAACAACGGGACAAGGCGGAGACACTTCATCCGTCTTTATTAATGTTGATGATGCAGSCCGAGGCACTTCCTGTAAGACCATCATAATATTTCTGCTGGGATTACTGTGAAATGAGAAAATAATGATGGTTTATAGAGTAGCCCTCACTGCTGTGGTATTTAGGGGTTGGAGTTTGAAAACATCAGTTCACTCTGCTTTTGGCCTYGCTCAGTTTTTAGTTCATCACTCCAGTCAGAATGAAACTTAATTCWCCAAGCTGGAGGAGTTTAAAGTGCTATCTACARCAGGTAAGATATTAGTTGTTCATAACTTAAACTAAGATCTGAATTATCACTCTAAGCAACTACCTTTATAAGATTAGTAATTTGCCTTGTTCCTGCTTATATTTGTACATTTCTTTGCTCACTAAAAATGTTCACCTCTGATTTCTTCTAGTTTACATTCAAAGTGCGAAACCTGGGCTCACTATCCCTCGCCTGGGTGGGYGATGGATCAGGGGTGAGTGTGTCACATATCAGTGGCAATAAATTAAAAAAAGAAGCAATTATCTGTTTTTAACTTCCAGCCCATTTCCTCCTAGGTGCTGCTGGTGCTGACGACATTTCATGTGCCGGTGTTCATGATGCGTTTAGGCCAGTCCAACCTGTACAGGAGGTGAGCAAAAAGCCTCTCGGAGCAGATTGYTTTAGATGTTTTCAGTGTTTTGTGGGTCTGAATTCAAGCTTCTCCGTGTGCATCAGTGAAGAYCACGGAAAGACGTTCAAAGACGTGACTCACCTGATCAACCACACRTTCATCCAGACGGAGTTCGGTATCGCCATTAGCCCAGACCACTCGGGGAAGGTGAGCCTCAGAAAAGTCAACATAAGGAATTGTTTTTTTTTTCTTTATATGTACATAATTGGTTTTTGTTTTGATTCAGGTGATCCTGACAGGCGACGTGTCAGAGATCGGGGACTTCCGACTGTTTCGCTCGCTGGACTTCGGCCTGACCTTCGAGTCCACTGACCTGCCGTTTGTTCCTCTCATTCAGCTGCTGTACAACCCTGCAGACTGCAACACTCTCCTGACCCTCAGTATCTCAGTTGAGTTTCAGTCTCTACCTCCTAAACTGATGCTGAACCAGACAGTTCTTAGTTATGCATCACTGCTTCGATTCAGTTGAGCAGAGTTTATTTACTGACACATCGTTTGTCTTTCCAGTTGAACTTGTGGCTCTCCGAGGACTTTGGCAGCACGTGGAGAAAACTCCATAAGAGTGTGTGTTTGGTCAGATGGTGAGAATTTCTTTTGCCGTCATTAGTCAGGTTCTATTTAAGCATTAACACATCACAAATTATTACTTAAACAGTTTCAATCAGTATAAATTTACACCAGTTGTTTACAAATTAGATCTTTATTTTTGTCTCGGATTAACAAAAATACGTAAAATAAATGGGTTTTACATAAATGCTGAGTACCGGGGGAAAAAAATCAAGTTTAGTTAAATGCAAATTTCCCTTATGAAAATAACATCTATAACTCAGTCATTTTTACAWATATGGAGCTAAAATTTGTTGTGTTAGTAGCTGAGAGTCATTCACAAAACATACTCTGATCGCTATTGTATAATGTGCACAATGCAAAGTTATTTTTGAGATTTGACTAGAATTGCTTAAACTCCATCATTTTTCGACATACAATTTTTTTTTCTTGAAAGGGTAAAAAAAACTACTCTAATAGAAGATATGTTTTGTAATAAAAATAAATTCCAAATTCTAAATTGATCTAATTTATAGACAGAAATATATTTTTTGCCTCACAGTTTTAGAAAATTGGATTTAAACATAAAAGCTTACGATACGAAGCAATACGACTGAGACACAATAGCTTCTAGTAAATGATAATTAATCTGTGTTTATGAAGACAATACTGTTCAGTGTTAGTCACAGAGCCATGTCTGATTGCTTGCAGTCTGCATGTCCCTCCTTGTTTTCCCTGTAAGCGGATTGCACGTCTTGTTTGTTTGTTGTTGTCTCCATCTGCCACCGTCCTGGTTCGGCTTTTCTCTGAGGTCCGCTGAGGTCGTGTGCAGAGACCACAGCGGTCCTTCAGGCCTAAATCTAAAGTGACTGCCGAGGCTGTGAGGTTCTCCTCAATCTCCACTCAGTGAAGACATTCTTCTTCAGCCCACAGTTCTCTGACCAAACAGCGTGAAAGCTTTTATTCTCTTTTGGCAGCAATTAAAAAACCTTAACTGGGAACACAACTCATTATTTAAGAAACCAAAACTTTAATTGCTGATTTCTACAAATCACATTTGAATTTAACAAGAAATGTTGTTTGGATACACCACCCCCCTCCCCACCCCCGATTTTAATTCTTTCCTGAATGGTTTCTTTTTCCAGGGGCCCAAAAAACAGCATATACTTTACAACCAACAACAACGGATCTTGCAGTAAGAGGATAAAATTATCACACTGCTATTATTATTTGTTTGAATTCTATAGTGATCCCTTTTTTGTTGTTTGTTAGATGACAAAGGATCATTACAATTAAAGAGGAGCGATGACTACGGCGGAAGTTTTAAGACCATTGCCACCAAAGTTTACTCTTTTGTTCTGGGAGGAAAATTTGTTTTTGCCTCCGTCATGACAGGAACGGTATGTATGTCTGCTGCTGTATTTTTTATTTATTTTTTTAATAAGTGGATGGGTAGGTAAGAAAAACAGGAGGTAGTTCTCCTCTTATTGAGTTCTTTTAATCCAAATATCAACAATACAAAAAAAATAGGTCAGATTTGTGCTGGTGGTGGATAATTTCAGTTTTTTTTTCCACTGAGTGAAGATCATTTCAGCTTGTTAAAGTTAAAGAAGCAGTTTTCCTGAAAACATTTAGCAGATTCTCAGTTCATAAAATGCTGGGAAGTCGTATATCTGTGTTATCACTTGTTGTGCAGAGTTTGTTTTGGAAATATGAGCACCACATGAATTAATAACAAGTTATGAAAGAGGTAACTTTTTTTTTCAAATACATCTTTAAAAGATAACCTTGTTAAAATATATAATATGATAATMTTAAGTTTGGTTCTAAATCATGTTTTGTGTGATACAGATGTTTGTTTATCAGTGCTGTCTGACAGGTCATGAGCTGCTGGATATCTCTTCTGTTCAGATATTTGTATCCTGATGTCAGTCTGTAGAACATGCAGTCATGTAAACACCACAGATATGAACAGAAACACTGACGTAGTCTGACCTAAAAATATTAGCCATAATATTGAAACTGTTCTTACTTTCATTCCTCATATTTTTGTGGTTGAATCGGAGCACCTCTTGTATTAACGACTGAATACCGACCACATTTTTTCTTTTTCTTTTTTATTTACTTAACTCAGRGGGCTTGTCTGGATTCCCCAAATCCAGACTGCCTTCCTTTTCAGGCGTGAGGACTAAAACGGTGCACAGGAGTGTTTTAAACTGCTTGGATTGAGAAAATTCCATCCCACAGAGAAAAAGGCTCTGAGCTGGATTCAAAGACCTCTTGATTTGTCCAAGAAGGACATTTCAAACACACCGCCCTTCTTTGTGTCTTTTAAATACACCAGTTTTTAAGTGCACATGGAAAATTCCACATAAAAAATAGTGACAAACTTTTATCAGTAAAAAAAAAATTTCCTCTAGGAAGATAAATTTGGACCACATAAAGAGATCATGTTCTGAAGAACCATCATGAATATTGGGCATCATAAAATGTAATCTGTATCATTCACAAGAGAAGCAAAGAAAAGAAAGAAAAATGTATAATAAGAATTAAAATGGACAAACAACACAAAGAGCATGAATACAATATAAAGTATCTGTTAAAAAAAGTTTTAATAAAATACTCAGTAGAGGAGTTGTTTTATCAACATATACCCAGGCACACAAGAGTACTTCAATATAGCTAGAACAAGATGAACTGATTCTGTTTTATACATTTAAATTAATGTACTGTACATTATTGTTGAGACTGTTTTACTAACTGATGTGTGTAGATGGCTTGTTGACGTAACTGGAGGTGTTAAAGTTTGCATTTTGTAGCAGTAGTACCACCCTCTCTGCATTTTATCATTCATAGGAAATGAGCTGCTGAACCAAATTTATTCCAAATGTCTTTTTACCCTTTTAATTACAAAACGGGTGCAGTGAAAGACTCAGAATCATGACCCGTGGAAAGTGAAATCATTTCCCTTCCTTCACATTCACAGTCATTTCTTTCTCACCTGCATGTCCTGCATGGGTGGGAGGGTAGCTGCAGTGATGAACTGAGCAGTCTTCACTACTCTCTGCAGAGCCTTGTGTTCAGCAGCAGTGGGACTACCATACCACACTGTGAGACAGCTGCTCAGAATACTCTCCACAGTGGACCTGTAGAAGTTGCAGAGTAGCTGCTGTGGCAATTTAGCCCTCTTTAGACGACGGAGGAAGTGTAGGTGCTGTTGGGCTTTCCTGATAATGTGGGGATGTATTCAGTGACCAGGTGAGATCCTCTGAGATATAAACACAGAGGAACCTGAAGCTGTCCACTCTCTCCACTAATGTCCCCTCAATACTCGKGGGTTTGTGCGCTCAACTCCCTCGCCAGAAGTCCACAATCAGCTCCTTGGTTTTGCTGGTGTTGAGGGAGAGGTTGTTGGTGGTGCTCTGCGAAGAGCTTCACTTCCTCCCTGTACGCCCCCTCGTCATCATTGGAGATATTGCCAATGACTGTAGTGTCATCAGCAAACTTGATGATGGTGTTGGTGCTGTGTTTAGCAAGGCAGTCATGGGTGTACAGGGTGAAGAGCAGGGGTGAGAGCACACAGCCTTGTGGGCAGCCGGTGCTGAGTGTGAGGGTGGGGGAGGTGTGGTCACCCATTCTGACTGACTGTGGTCTGCCAGTGAGGAAGTCCATAATCCAGCTACAGAGTGAGTTACTGATTCCAAGGGTGTTGAGCTTGGATACCAGTCAGGATGGGATTAAGGTGGTAAAAGCGGAGCTAAAATCAACAAACAGCATTTGTGGGTGGAATTGAATGTTGTGAAAGAACACCTAATGATACAAAACTTTATCCAACAGCAAATTAAATACATTTGTTGACAATGGCCTGTTAACGAGAAATGGCCTTGGCCGAGACCATGGTCTTGAGCTGGAAACCGGTAGCGTGCCGTCTCCGGGTCGGGGGGGAGGTCCTGCCCCAAGTGGAGGAGTTCAAGTATCTCAGGGTCTTGTTCACGAATGAGGGAAGAATGGAGCGGAAGATCGACAGGCAGATTGGTGCTGCATCTGCAGTGATGCGGGTGCTGTACCGGTTTGTCGTGGTGAAGCGGGAGCTGAGCCAGAAGGCAAAGCTCTCGATTTACCGGTTGGTCTACTTTCCTACCCTCATCTATGGTCACTTACTTTGGGTAGTGACCGAAAGAACGAGATCGCGGATACAAGCGGCTGAAATGAGTTTCCTCCGCTGGGTGTCTGAGCTCTCCCTTAATAGCGATAGGGTGAGAAGCTCAGTCATCTGGGAGGGACTCAGAGTAGAGCCACTGCTCCTCCATGTCGAGAGGAGCCAGTTGAGGTGGCTCATCTGGTTAGGATGCCTCCTGGATGCCTCCCTGGTGAGGTGTTCCGGGCATGCTCCACTGGGAGGAGGAGGCCCAGAGGAAGACCCAGGACACGCTAGAGGGACTATGTTTCTCGGCTGGCCTGGGAACGCCTTGGGATTTCCCCGGATGAGCTGGCCCAAGTGGCTGGGGAGAGGGAAGTCTGGGTCTCTCTGCTTAGGCTGCTGCCCCCGCGACCAGATCCCGGATAAGCGGCAGAAAATGGACGGACGGATGGGCCTGTTAACTTACCATTGCTACAATTCCTGACTACATTATCTCCTACAAAAAGCTCTACTAAACACAAATTTTCATACCATAAAACTTTCCAAGCTACGTTGCTGTATGGTCTTCATGCATGTACTGTATTGAAATAAGTTGTGTGTGTTTGTGTGCATTTGTGTCAGGGCACAGAGCGTGGGATCCATGTCTCAGTGGATGGAGGTGATCACTGGAACACGGCCCAGCTTCCTTCTGTCACCCACCAGCAGTTTTACTCCATCCTCTCAGCCAATCAGGGCATGATCTTCATGCATGTGGAYGACCCAGGAGGTCAGTGACAATGAAGCAGCTTTAGTGATGACTGTGGGCGACTCTGATATTGTTTATAGTGTTGTGAATTTTTAATAACGCTGATGATCGATGGCTCACACAAATACCAAGTTTTGTCAAACCAGTTGCCAAGAATTTCTCTCTGAGCACAAAATACGTTGTTGCAGTGTTCTAACCAAATTCTTTGTGTGTGTGTGGAGCAGACTCTGGTGTTGGAACCATCTATGTGTCAGACGACAGAGGAACCGTTTTCTCCAAGTCTCTGGAGCGCCACCTTTACACAACCACAGGGAGCGACACAGACTTCACAGCCGTTGCGTCTTTCAGGGGCGTCTTCATGACCAGCGTACTCTCTGAGGGTGAGTTACCAGACTGTTGGCACTTTCACATAAACTCGCTGTAAACATTCACAAACCTCGATGTAGAGGCTGTCGAAATTCCAATGTTTAATACAAGCCAACTTGGGATCGCACAGAAAAATGAAAGAATGTTTTGCAAAGCTGTGTAGAGTCATCTTTACTTCAGTCTAGGTCAGATTGCATCAGGGTGAGTGTCTTATCTGTTGGTTTTGATGTCTCAGGTTTTTTCCTAGTGACACCGAATACAATATCTTAACAGAAGTGACAAACTGGTGTTATACTTGTAAAACTGAACACGTAGATTATTTTATGTGTCACTTAGAATTACTATATTACAAGCACACTACTACATGAAGGGAATGGATCACAAAAACATTTTTCCTCAGCTCTRTATGGCATCATGTCTCTTAAGAACACTTCTTTAAGCAAAGATTAAGACAGGCTGGGAGGGTGATTTAGGAGAGGAAAGGATATGGGCGATGATATGTGGTACTACGCCTTACAAAGAGTAAATCATATTGCTTCCTGTGCAAGACTAATGTCATACAGTTTAAGGTTCTACACAGCAAAAATGTCAGTGTTAATTTAACATCCACAGTGTTAATTTTAACACCAGCAAGTGTCTATGTGTCCACACTCGCTGGTGTTAAAATAACATTTGTGAAAGTGTTAAATTTTAACACTCATTTTTTTGTTAGTTTAACACCAACCAGTGTTTAATATTCAACAATTCTTGGTGTCACATTAACTTAAAAATAGTGTTAGTGTTAAAATATAGTGTTAACAGTAACACCAGCCAGTGTTAAATATTCAACAATACTGGGTGTCATATTAACATTTGGACAGTGTTAAAATTAAGTGTTAAAAGTATCACCAGTGTGTTATTATTAACAAAAGAAATTGTGGTGTTTGAAAGGTTAACATATACAACAAGGTGTTAATACACCATCAAACTGGGAGTGTAAATTTAACACTCAAAGTTAATATCAAACTCTTTACTCAGTAGTTAGTAGAAAAGTATAATGGAGTCACCCTTGACACACCAGGACATACCTCTTACTCATGGTGTGGATTTTTGGCCATAACACAAACTTAAAGTTGAACAACTTGATCAAACTGAACAAGAAAACTAACCAGAACAACTAATTTTTACTCTCATGAACGTCTTTAATGGTCAGAAACATGCAAAAACATCATTTCTGCGAGATTTCTCAGCAAGGAATGCTGGGTAAATGCTGGTCTGTCTGACATGAGGTGGAAGAGGGCGGGGCTTTTCAGAAAGCTTCTTTCAACACTGCATGGTGTTGTATAGCTACACTGTTAAGTGTTATATAAGACAGCTGTGGGCGGAGCTTATTTAACACTGTCCAGTGTTGAGACAACACTAAGGAAATCAACACTGGGAATTAACACCRACACTGGGTATGAGTGTACTCAGAAAGTGTTAAAATAACACTAGGGGATGTTAAATCAACACCCAAAAGTTTAACACAGAAATTTTAACACTCCTGTTTTTGCTGTGTACATTGAGCTCACTTTTCTAAAGCAGAATAAGTCTAAGCTTAGATACCAGCTGTGTTAGGTGTCATAACTTCGCTTCTAMTTTAACCCTATATGTTCTGGTCATGTCCTGCTTTGGTCCATGATCTTTAAAATACTATCAGAAGCACTTAACATCAATCTTCAACCAATTGCAGCAGCATCCATCTTTGGTATTAYGGAAAATAATGTATTATTTTAATAAAAAGGTATAAAAATATGCATGAACAAAGGGTTGGGAAATGCCTGTAAAAAAGAATGGTTTGTATTCATCCATCTTGAAAATAAGAACAAAACAAGCAGAAGGCAGAAACAAGAAATATAAAAATAAAGTGACATGTATTATAAGACAACATAAGAAGGAATATTACAGTGATTTATTAAGCAAACGTAATGGTGATACAAAAGCAACATGGGGAGTAATGAATAGTGTTTTAAAAAAGCATAAGCTACAATCAGGTATTTCAAAGTACTTTGTAAAAGATAATAAGGAACTTTATGGTCCAAGTGAAATAGCTAAAGAATTTAATCATTATTATGTTAATGTTGGTCCAAGTCTTGCTGCTCAAATACCAAAAGCTGATTATGATGTGACTCAAACAATCAGAAGTTGTGCTAACAGCATATTTCTTGGTGAAACTGATGAGGAAGAAATAAGTATGTGTAAAAAAAAATTCAGATAAAAGGTCAAAAGATTGGGTGGACATGGACATGATGTTTGTTAAGGAAATAATGTCTTATGTTATTAAGCCCTTACAACATGAAAATAGCCTAGGTAATTCCCATATATAAAAATGGTGAGAAATGTATATTTAGTGATTACAGACCAATATCCTTATTACCACAGTTCTCAAAAATCTTGGAGAAGTTATTTGTGATCAGATTAGATCAATTCATCATTAAAAACAATATCTTAAGTAGCAGTCAATATGGATTTAGAGCCAATAACTCTACTTCAATGGCTCTTATGGAACTGATAGAACAAATAACAAATGCTATTAATCAAAAACAATATTGCGCCAGTATTTATTGTTGACATAAAGAAAGCATTTGACACGATTGACCACAGCATTCTACTTGAAAAACTAAATTAATATGGGATTAGAGAACCAGCATTACAATGGATATCTAGTTATTTGGAAAATAGGAAACAGTTTGTACAAATACATGTTGTAAGATCTGAACTCTGTGGAATCACATGTGGAGTTCCTCAGGGTTCTATACTTGGACCAAAATTGTTTCTTATATGTAAATGACTTGGTCAATGTGTCAGGGCTTATTAAATGTGTTTTATTTGCAGATGAAACCACATTTTTTGTTTGGGTATAGACATACTGTAGAACTGATGTTAGAGAAAATGCAAGCAGAGTTTGTGAAAATACAAAACTGGTTTGAAATCAACAAATTATCATTAAACTTGGATAAAACTAATTATATGATATTTACAAAAAGACAAAGAACTGTTAACATTCCATTTAGAGTTGATGGTGTAGAGATTAGTAGAGTCAGTGAGGTAAAGTTTTTGGGTGTTATTATTGATGAGAAACTGACATGGAAACCTCATATAGATTATTTAAAAATAAAACTAGCTAAATCTACTGCATTGCTTTACAAAGTAAGGGACTTGTTTAATGATAAAGCTCTGTATATGTTTTATAACACATTAATTGTTCCACACTTGGTCTATTGTGTTGAGGTATGCGGTAAAGCATGTAAGACTATTACAGATCCTGTTTTTGTTTTGCAGAAAATGGCTATAAGAGTTATCGCTCGAAAAATACCACCATTATTCATCAAATATATTATTTTGTAAAGTGAAATAATTGAAATTCGATGATTTGGCTGATTATAATATTTTGTTAGTTATGTATAAAGCACACCGAAACACATTACCTTCAAACATTCAGATAAACTTTGCGAAGAGAGAAAGCTGTTATAATCTAAAGGGAATAGAGATGTTCATGAAACCTAAATTTCGAACATGTTTCAAAGAACGGTGCACCTCAATCCAAGGACTCGGAATGTGGAATAATTTGGAAGGTGATGTTAAAAATGCCACATCAATGTATATGTTTAAGAGAATGATAAAGATTTATTGTTAAAAAAACATGAAATGGTTTAATATGTAGCCATTCAAATTGTTCTAGAAAGATTCGATTTTTGTTTTGTTAACCGAAAATTATTATAGTTTGAATTTATACTTGATAAAAAAGGGGCAAACATTATAAGATTTTTTTTCTTTTCTGTCTGCCGCCTTTCTTTTCATTTTATTAGTATTTTCATTTTTATTGTACATAGAATTTTGTTTTTATGGAATGAATAAAGTTTGAAATATCAAAATATCAAATATCAAAAAACATTGCCTTTACAAGAATAGAGGAGTATTGCTACAATGGAAGTCCACAAACCCACCCAAAGCATCTATGTGGATTAGAGATCTCGTGAATTTTATCTAGTTAGAAAATATGAAATATTCACTGAGAGGCACCAACGACCAATTTTATTCTACACAGAATGCAGTCTTAACATACTTAGCCAACCTTCCCTCACTGCCCGATAGTGTTTACACTATTTACCCACTTTAACGACCTGGTAAGCCACAACTTTCCATAATTGTTACAATACTATCCGTACGCCTCTCTAATCTTTTTAAATTAACCACCTATATTGCATTGCTTAATGTATCTGTATGTAAAATCATTTGACATAACCAGAAGGCTCCTCCCTTTTGATTTTATAAATATACTATAGAGTATTCATAAAAAATAAATGTGTCCTTTGTTCTGAAAGGCTGGGGGTTGGCTTGGGCTTAGTCCCCCCCTTTTTTTTTGTTGTCCTTTTTTTGTGTGTTACTATTGTTATACAAAAGGGGGTGGGAATATATATATATCATATTTTTATTTATTGAAAAATAAAGGACAAAAAATAGACAGACAGACTATGACCAAACAAAAAGTGTTATTTTTGTTGTTCCACTGTTTAAAATGAGCATGTGCTTCTTTGAAAGCAAAGGTTTTCTTTTTGTCTTCACTTTTTGTGCTCGACATACAAAGTATCTATATTTAAACTAGTAGCATTTAATATAGACGTTAAATATGTTTTAATATAGACGTTAAATATGTTGTGTTCTTTTTACAGAAGGTGAGGTGGAGACTGTGATCACTTTCAACCAAGGAGCAAAGTGGCAGCCGCTGCAAAGGCCAGAGAACAGCCCCTGTAACACAGAGACRTCCACAAACAGACCAAACAGAGTGAGATGTGCATGCTAATATTTATTTATCTTTATGTTGTTACGCTTTGTATCTTGCATGAATAAATAGCTCAAAGTTTTTCAGTGCGAGCTTCTCACATTTTGCTGTGTTTGTGGCTACAGTGCAGACTTCACATCCACGCCTCCTACAGCACCACCATGAAAATGAACGTCCCAATGCTGCCTCTCTCACAGCCCAACGCCGTGGGTCTCATCCTGGCTCATGGTAAAACAAACAGGAGCACACCAAGACCTAAATTCAACAAAATATTGTGCAGCCTTTTTTTTTGGCACCAATCATAAATACCTTGCAAAGGGTAACATGTGCCTCAAACTGTGCTGCCAACCAAACAGTGTCTCTCTGTGTTGGTGCAGTTTGCCTACATTTAAATGAGCTATACATGAATTTAGAGGAAAACTCATTATGTAAATTACCTTTGGGGCTAAAAAAAAACAGTTTTCATAATCAGAGCTCCTCTGCACTGCTGCCTTCACATTGAAGAGGGCTGGCATTTTAGGGAAAGTATATTCATCCTCTACTCCAGTAATGAGTATAAAACATTGTTGCATCTGATGGACATGTTTGTGGCAATTTAAGGGATAAGGTGCTAAGATGAATCAGAATAAAGGTGCAAATAATACAAGCGATGCGCTGCACAGGGTCAGTATATCCTTAGAAAATTCTTAGCTTTCTGCTCACCAATCCTTCTTTTTCCTTCAGGCAGTGTTGGAGATGCCGCCTCAGCTCTCTTCCCTGACGTCTATGTGTCTGATGATGGTGGTCACACATGGCTGCTGGCCCTCAGGGGTCCCCATCACTACGCTATCCTGGACTCTGGAGGACTGCTGGTTGCTGTGGAGCACAGCAGCTCGCCAGTCAATCGGATAAAGTAAGACTGGATGAGTCTGACTCATCATCCTTCTGACGTTAAATGTAAATTAATTTGTGACAGTGGGGTTTGTGGGCTTTCTCTCATTGACACTCCTCAGGTTCTCCACAGATGAAGGGCAGTGTTGGCACACGTATAACTTCACCAACGACCCGCTTCACTTCAGCGGCATGGACAGTGAGCCCGGCTCTCGCTCGATGAACGTCAGCGTGTGGGGCTACAGGAGCGACTTCAGTAACTGGGTGGTGATCACCATAGACTTCAAGAAGCTCCTCACCAGAGAATGTGAGTACAGGTGAGAAGATCACTAATCTTTTATCAGTGTATGAGTTTGAACTCGGGGCATGCGTGTTTCTGCAGGTAATGAAGAAGACTATGTAGCGTGGCAGGCTCACTCTGAAGACTCCAGTAGCGACGGCTGTGTTCTAGGCTATAAAGAGTCTTTCCTCCGCTTGAGGAAAGACTCAGTCTGCTGGAAAGGGAGGGACTTTGAAGTCACCAAGAAGCTGTCCCGCTGTCCGTGTACAGTGGCTGATTATCACTGGTTGAGTGCACTAAACTAGTACTTCTTTTAAGTTTGAACGCATCAAATCATATTACAGCTTTTGCACAGAAAGTCCAACAGTAAGAATGTGACCCTGATTTATCTTGCAGTGACTTTGGGTATTATCGTCCAGAGAACAGCTCGGAGTGTGTGGAGCAGGAGGACATGACGGGCCGGGCTCTAGAGTTCTGTTTAAATGGGACCACAGAGCTGCTGCAGACCAGCGG